CTTTGCCCGGAAGTAGAGAGTTTGACTAGCACATCTGGAGACGAATCTCCAAATCTAGGATATCTACCAACCGTCCCTCGCGGTCAGATGTGGCACAAGTCCAAATTTAATGTGGGATATCCGACCCCGTAGGCTCGGCCAAAACATCCCCGTAGACCCCGTATGAAACGGGGTCGGGTAGCTGTTTCCCGAGACGAAGTTCTGCGCTTTGACATAGCCTCGTCTGGGGATCCTCTCTTACCCTAGGCAGAGACTTTGTCCAGCCCAGCTGGAGATGAATATCCAACTGCAGACCAACATACAGTATTCACTACTGGATTTATAGGAATGGGGGCATACCCATTATCGTCCGTAAGTATGCTACAGCAGTTTCGCCATTTTTTCTCTTTGGATAAATCCTTGAGATATTACGACAGTACGTCACCAATGATAAACACCGACTAACATCTGACGATATCTGTAATTCTTTTTTTTTTTTTTTTTTTTTTACAAAATGTTAACCCGATACAACGCCCAAGATCAACACAACGGTAGAATGTTTAATTGAAAAAAAGGGGATGAGGTAAATACAGATTATGCGGATATATAGGATAGACAGCGTTTGACCATAAACCAAATAGCGGTTCTCGGGACGAAGCTATCTGCATGATACACGAAAGGAATAAGGATGATTCGACTCTTTGGATGTGGCGTGCGGTGTCCTAGTTTTCAAAGCCTGAACTGGTGGAACTAAACAATAAAGTTCATCTAAATATTTGCCATACTGATAAAGTCTAGCGAGGTAGCATTTGTGGGAGAGAAGCTGATGGTCTGAAAATAATAAATCACCCACAAGGCCGCGTAAACGCTTTAGACCTCTGTCACGGCTGGACAGTAAGTATTTAACAGCTCCTGCCCATACATGACATCCTTACTCTATTTTTAGTTTCATTTGCTTTGATTGTAAAGATAAGGTGTTGTGGATTCCGGGAATGGAATCCTGCACAAATAAATAAACAACGCCAGTAATTGCGATAGAAAAACAAGTGTATTAAACATAAGAATACAGACTTGAAGTGAAGATTAGTAGTCCAGGAATGCGGGTTAGTAGAAAGTATATGTACAAGTCTCTGTAAGTAAAGCCGTAATCATCTCTCCCTCTCTCTGAACTCTCTCTCTGTCTCTCTCTCTCTCTCTCTCTGACTCTCTTTCTCTCTCTCTCTCTCTCTCTCTCTCTGAACTCTTGTATAACTCTCTGAGAACACCCTGTGTCTGTCTCCATATCTCTCAATCTGTCTCCACGTATCTCAACGGCAGGTATTCTCTCTGTCAGTATAAGTATACTTTGGATGAGTCCATCTTATGTAAAAAGGGGAGAGCCCCACAACATAAGGTGTTGAGGAGTTCTCCCCTTTTTACACAAATGGACTCACCCAGTATATACATATACTACGGCTACGTGAAGACACGGGAGCAAGACCGAAGAGTCTAGTCGAGTCCAGAGTGACAGAGTAAAAGGTTGTAGGTAACCGGAAGAGTGAGGGGTGAGGTAACATCGTTGTAGGAGTCTCAGTGAGCGAGAACGTAGACTCAGTAAAAAGTCATACAGCGATACTTCAATACCAAAGACTGTATATATATTTTGCTACTAACCCGTATTCCTGGAACTACTAACCTGCTTTACCAGTTTGTATTATTACGTTAATACATTATTTTCATATATTCATTCCTGGCGTTTGTTATATATTGGTACCGGATTTTAACCCGGAATCCACAACATAAGGTATGGCAAAAAAAGCCAGGTACTTGGAGTTTCATTCTCCTAGACTGATCGTCAACCAAGACTATAGGATCCTTCACTTGTTGGGCGTTACAGGGAACTTTTAGGGTTGTGTGGATGGATCGTATATATAAGTTTTGCTTACGGTCTGAGGTGAATGCCCCAATCAACACTTAAGACAGAGTCGCATTGAGGGCACACACGCTTGTCAAGACTCTA